ATCCGAATCTGTCTGATTGTCACTCTCTCAAGTAGCACAGACCTGGCACAGAGTAGACAACAAACATTTGGGGGTTTGATGCATAAAATGCCAGCTCAAAATCTTATTTTCATTCTATTTAAAATTAGGGACATGAATGAGGCAATCATCTCAAAGGAGGACCAACCTTATTAGTGAACAGAATTATTAGCCTTTACCAGATAAAATAAATCAAAGTTTTTTTCCCCCGAACCTCAGAAAACAAGGACACAGACTCAGTCTCTAGCTTCCAGCAAGCAGGCAACCTCCCTTGTGAACCTGGGTAAGAAATCTCTGCCATGCACACTCTCTCGCCTTTTCTCCATGTCCCTATTATACAGAGGGGGTGACCATATCATTTATTGTCCAGACGGGACCCTTCTGGGAGATCAAGGTGAGAAACCAAATATACAAATGAACAACAGCCTGACCCTAGATAGAAACAGAGCTGTGACTTACACTCAGCAGCATCCGTCCCAGGAAGAAAGCCTGCTATCTAGAAGTCCTCAGGCTCATAGGACGTCAGACCGTTACTGCAGCAAACAATCCAGGAGGCCAACAGTAAATCCTGTAACAACTGGCCCCAGATGGCCAGGACTCCATTAATAACTGACAGCTTCCCTGGTTTTTGTCCCCACTTCCCATTTCAGGACCAGCCCGAGAAAGCCAAATGCATTGCCCTGACAGTTACATAGGATGCCCTGCTTCTAGTTAGCCGTCCTGCAGCTTCCCCAGGCCAACAGCCTCCAGCCGGGGACCCCCCGGAAGCCACCCCTGTTCCAGCCACAAAGCTTGGCCGCTCCTCTGTCTGCCTTCGAGCCTCTGCCAGAACGTGGTGGAGGCGGCCCCCTTGCTGCTGTGAGCTCTGGACAGTCTTTGCCTGTTCTCATTTGAGTGATTTTCATTTATTTCCACAAATTACTGCACTGTTAATAACTATGCTGCATCAAGAGGCAAAAATTGGGACTGAGTCAGGACTAGATCACCCAAATTATAAAGCACCATCCGCCAAGAGGCTGTTTGTTAGTGAGCTAAATTCAGGGAGGGCGAAGGTGTGAAGAACAGACGATGGAATGTACCACTACCGCTAGGTGGGGTTGCATCATTACAGACCAGAGGACGTTTCCATCATTGCGGGAAGCTCTTGACCTACATGTATGTGCACTCAGGGTACTAGTCAGTCATCTTTTTGGTTTGGATGTATGGTACACTGGAATTGTTGGAAATTTGTCTTCAGGGCAGTAACTGCTAAAAGTAATTCCAGCAGAAAGTGTTCAAACATACCATTATTGATACCTAGTACTAACTTACTTTTAATTATTGCCTGCAGTCCCTGAGGCAGTAAAGAGGTTAAAAACATGGTGCTCGCCCTTGAGAAGCTGCCGTTCTGGAAAGTACTTCAGGTTGGTATGGGTTACATAATTTGCAAATTTTGCCTAGTGCAAAATTAAAATAAGGGGCCACTTGTTTAAAAAGTATTAAGAATTTCAAGGTGGAAACACTATGTGGCAAGAAAAGAAAAAAAGAAAGAAAGAAATCCTTTTGATTCAGAACAATGAGGAATACTATATTTATTAAAAGTAATACCTTTCTTTGACAGCCATACAAAAATTTTTTAAAAGAACAAGTTTAAGATTCTACAGTGTCAGGGTGTTAAATTTCTTTTCTTTTTTTTTTTTTTTTAAAGATTTCATTTATTTATTTGACAGAGAGAGACACAGCGGGAGAGGGAACACAAGCAGGGGGAGTAGGAGAGGGAGAAACAGGCCCCCCCGCGGAACAGGGAGCCCGATGCGGGGCTCGATCTCAGGACCCTGGGATCATGACCTGAGCCGAAGGCAGAGGCTTAACGACTGAGCCACCCAGGCGCCCCAGGGGGTTAAATTTCTTAATAAAATTAGAGTTGGCAAGAATATGGTCAATAAAAATAACTAACGAAGAGGGTGCACTTCATACCACACATTTAAAATGTTCAGTGCTTTCCTTTTTTTTTTTTTTTTAAGATTTTATTTATTTATTTGACAGAGAGAGACACAGTGAGAGAGGGAACACAAGCAGGGGGAGTGGAAGAGGGAGAAGCAGGCTTCCCACCGGGCAGGGAGCCCGATGCGGGGCTCCATCCCAGGACCCCGGGATTATGACCTGAGCTGAAGGCAGACGCTTAATGACTGAGCCACCCAGGCGCCCCTGTTCAGTGCTTTTCATGGTGAAACACTTGTGCATACTATTACATTAAGCAAAATATTTATTTTTTAAAATTTTAAAAAAAGATTTTGTTTATTAATTTGAGAGAGAGAGCACGAGAGGGGGAGGGTCAGAGGGAGAAGGCGGCTCCTCACTGAGCAGGGAGCCTGACATGACATGGGACTCGATCTGGAACTCCAGGATCATGACCTGAGCCGAAGGCAGTTGCCCAACCAACTGAACTACCCGGGCACCCCAAGCAAAATATGTTTTAAAAAAATACATTTGTAACCCATAATACAGATAAACCATAGGGAGAAGCAAGGACTGGTTTGTATGGGTGCTGTATACTTTCTTCTCCTTGGGGTTCATAAGTGAGGCCTCCTTTCTGGCCCTCTCAACGCGCTGTCACTTGTCACCAGAGATTCTTAGAGTGGACACATGGCTTTGATGATCTCAGGGCAAAGACACTGATGATCCCCGTTAGCCTAAACTTGGAAAAAAAGAAAGAAAGAAAGAAAAAGAATGTCAAGGTGGCAACAGCAGACCCTTAAACCAAATGTGGGGATCTTCTAAGCACTAAGGCCTTTGTGAAGGCACAGGTCACACACCCATGAAGCCAACCCTAAATGTAGATAGTGTTTCGTGACAAATTATAGACTAAGTATGCTGTTTCATATATATTGTGATGCTGCTGGGCCTATCAGCCCCTTTTTATTCCATGCGGTACATTTGGCATGCTCACAATTAAATTACATTTAAGCAGTTATTAGGCATTGACTCTATTTGTGCTAATTACTGTAGGAAATCTTTGCTAAAATTTAATATAATCAAGTACATAAATACTTAAATTAAAAAAAGATGGTATAAAAAGGTACAATTGTAATTCTTTCACTCTTCCCCACAAGACTCAGGACAGGGCAGGGTCTGAAACAGGTATGCACTCAATAAATCTGTGTTGAATATTCGTTCAATGGGTGGAGATTTTAACAAAGGGAAATATCGGGAAAGGCCAAATGGGAGAGAAGCCACAGACTGGCCAGGAAGGGCATTGTAGACAAGAGGAAATGTCAGTGAAAGCCAAGTGCTATGTTTCAGTACTACCTTCCGGTAGAGCTGGACGCTTCCTGGAAGCAGGAATTTTGTTTCTTCCCGGTGGAACCAGTGTCCGCGACATAGCAGCCTTTCAGGACTGACCCAATACGTGCAGTGAAGAAGTAGGAGAGGAAGCTGGAGCCAAGTTAAGCCAAGTTTTGAATATCACAGTGAGAATCTATATTCAGTGTACGGATAAGAACCATTGAAAAGGGCAGTGATGTGATCTGGACTCTGAGGGAAAAACAAGCCTGTGGTATCCCTGATGTGGTTTTGGAATATAGGTGAGCTTTGGCGAGGTGAGGTCCAGAGCCAACGGCCAAGAATGAATTCTTGAGACTTCTTGGGTGTAAAAAGGTGATTTTTTTTTTTTTAAGATTTTATTTATTTGACAGAGATAGAGAGCATAAGTAGGCAGAGTGGCAGGCAGAGGGAGGAGAAGCAGGCTCTCTGCTGAGCAGGGAGCTGGATGTGGGGCTCGATTTCAGGACCCTGGGATCATGACCTGAGCTGAAGGCAGCCGCTTAACTGGCTGAGCCACCCAGGTGCCCCTAAAAAGGTGATTTTATTAAAGCACAGGGACAGAACCCGTGGGCAGAAAGAGCTGCTGCCCCAGGGTTGTAAGGGGTGGCCGATTATATACTTGGGAGTTGGGGGAGGTAAGTAAGAAAAAGGGAGGTTTCAAAAGGATTTTCATATGTTAAAGACTCACAGGATACCCGAGGCCTTGCCATTATCAAGTTAAGGTTGTTTTTTCCTCTGGCAAGGCATTAACAAGAAGACAGTTGGGAGTTTCCTGGAGGAATGTCACACTTGTCCCACCCTGGGGGGGGGGGGAGGGAGGAGGAGTTTGCAGGGTGTCCGCTTGCGCTTTGTGCTCAGCCAGCCTTCTGCTCCCTCATCATCCTGAGTAAGACGGTTATGTGCTAACATCTCACAGCTTCTAAATCCACCTTCTCCGCCCCCCCCCAACCTTAATAAACACCCTTGTCATAAGCCAAATAAAACCTCAAATGGGAATTTTGAAAACGCGAGGAACCAAGAACGTACACAGAAACGGAAGCCGGCAACTCTGGGTGTGTGTTAACGTTAACTGTCCCTTTGTGTCTTCTCAACTGCATAATAAAACCTCACTTGCAAGTACGGACGTTTACCAAAATCCTGGGCAGCTTCTAGGTCTAGCTGTAATCCTGCCCTGGACGTGCTCGACAAACGAGCGGCGGAAAATCGCGCAAGATGACCAGCTTTCCCAACGCGGCAGACGCCGGGGTCACCTGCGCGCACCTGCCGGCCGAACCCGGCGCCCAGGTGGGGCCTCCCTGCCGAGCTGGGTGGCGCCGAGTTTTTCCCCGACTTTATCGTCCCAGGCGTCTCTAGGTTGGGGGTTCGTTAAGATTCGGACGAGACTAGTGTTGCATGGAGCAGGGTGTGGGTGGAACCCGACCCAGGAACCCAGGCGGAGCGGCGCCCCCGGGAAGGTCCTCGCAGCCAGCCGGCGCGCGCACGCGTGTCCGCACAGCGAGGAACAATAAAGTTGAGCGTGTTCAAAAGGGGTCCTGTCATCCAGGGCCCACTGGACAAGCCTGCAAAGTAAGACTCCCAGGAAGTCCCTGGTGCTGGCACGTGTCGTTGTTCTCGGGGGCGTTTTCCTCACTCGCGGTGGGACAGCGCCGGGGCACGGCGCGGACCGCGGGCGGGCGGGCGCAGGCGGGGCGGCCGGCCCGGCGATCGCCGCGGGCAGCCCTGCGAGGACCCAGCCCCCGTGGAGCCAGCGGCGAGGCTGCGGCCGACCTGACGCGCGGGATGAAGCCCAGACCCGCGGCCTTCGTGGACAACAGGCTGAAGCAGCGGGTTGTGCAGGTGGATATTGTACGCGGCCCTTTCTCGGCGGCTCCCAGGCCAGCGTGAACCAGCCGCCCGCCGCGGCCCGGGTCCTGGGCGGTGCGCGGGCCGCCCTTCTGCCGTGGCGGGGCTGCCCGGAGCCGGGGTCCAGGCAGGTGCAGCGCCTGAGGAGATGGGACAGGGGCGGTGCGGCCCCGGAGGAGCCGGGAGGGGGGCGGGTGCAGCCCCGAAGGAGCCGGAAGGGGGGCGGGTGCGGCCTGAGAAGAGCCGGCGCCCGGGCGGATGCGGCTCCGAAGGAGTCGGGAGAGGGGCGGGAGCTTGGCGTGGATCTGACCTCGTAATAGGCTTTTGCCCGAGGGTTTTTCATTTTTATACCCATCTGTAGAAAGCAGTGTGTGATAGATGTCTTGCAGTGGCACAGTCTGCAAGCAGTCTTAGGAGGAGGAAGAGATTTCTCTTCGCTGCACTCTGGGAGCTATATTTTCTCTTTTTCTTTTACTTTGCCAGTGCTGTAGTCTCCTTTTCGGATGGGTCTCTCCCTGCCAAACCCTAAGGAAGTGTTGGAAGTGCCTTGAATTCCTGTGCTGTCCCTCGATCCTCATACTCCTCTTACCTGCTTCCTAGGTGATCTTGTCCAGTGTAAAGCCTTTAAACGCTATATGCTATCTATACAGTCACTAAAGTTACTATAAATATAAAATTCAATATATATTTGTGACTATATAAACATAAATTCAGTGAAAGTATATATTCACTTAGGGGCGCCTGGGTGGCTCAGTTGGTTGGGCGGCTGCCTTCGGCTCAGGTCATGATACCGGAGTCCCTGGACCAAGTCCCGCATCGGGCTCCCTGCTCGGCGGGGAGTCCGCTTCGCCCTCTGACCCTCCCCCTTCTCATGTGCTCTCTCTCATTCTCTCTCTCTCAAATGAATAAATAAAATCTTAAAAAAAAAAAAGAAAATATATATTCACTTTATTTTTATTTTTTAAAGACTTTATTTGAGAAAGAGAGCATGAGTTGGGGGGGGGCAGAGGGAGAGGGACAAGCAGAGTCTCCACTGAGCAGGACCCTGGGATCATGACCTGAGCCAAAGGCAGACGCTTAACCAACTGAGCAGACACTTAACCATCTGAGCCACTCAGGTGTCCCTATATATTCACGTTAAATACTGTCTATATATTCCAAGACTCATGTATCCAGTGTGGATTTCATCTTGAATATCCAGGTGCCTACTTGACATTTCCTCTTGGGTATCTGATGGGTATCTCCCACAACATGTCCATACTGAATATTTTGATACTCTCCTCCAAACCTGTCCTTTCTCGGTGTTCTTTGTTTGGTTAAATGACACTACCATCCATCCAGTTGTCAGAGCCAAAAACCTTAACAACCATTACTACTCCTTTGTTACGCTTTCTGTAACCAATTAATCAGCAATTTATCTGGCTTTACCGTCAAAATATACTCCAAACCCAGCCACTCCTTTCTGACTGTGCCTCCAACCATCATAGCCCAAACCACTTTGATCTCTTTGCTTCTAGTTCTACCTAAGGTCTGTTCTTCCCAGGGCAGCCAGGGAGGTTCTTTTAAAGGGAGCTTGGCAGGGCCCTGCTCAGAAAACCCCTTTGGTGGAGTCAAAGAATATCTAGAGAAAAACCCATCATAAAGAGTCCGACATAGTCTGGCCCCTGTCTACTTTTTCGTCCTGTTTCCTTCCTTTTTTTTTTTTTTTTTTTTTTTTTTTTTTAAGATTTTATTTTTTTGAAAGTGAGAGAGAGAGAATAAGCAGGGCAAGGGGCAGAAGGAGAGACAGAGGCAGCCTCCCCACTGAGCAGGGAGCCCGATGCAGGGACTCGATCCCAGGACCCTGAGATCATGACCTGAGCTGAAGGCAGACCCTTAACCGACTGAGCCACCCAGGCGCCCCTCCTGTTTCCTTCTGCTGTCCCGCTTGCTTTCACCACACTGACCTCAGGCAGGCCAAGCACAGGACCTTTGCTCCCTAGCCCACAGCTGACTCTGGATAGTCCCACCACTGGCTCCTTTACTTCACTCAACAGGTGCCTCAGTAGTGATTCCTAAGGGCTGAATCCAGGGGCTCTTTGCAGCTCTTCACCATTTGACATTATCCGTTTTTCTCTATTGCGTTTGCTTTGGCTAATTATGAAAACGATAATGGAACGGACAGAAGGGCATAAAAGAAAAGAAAGAATTCCTTCATCTTCATTTCTGTAGGAGTAACCACGCCGAGTTTCTATTTTACCTTAAAATTTTGTATGCATGTATGCAGTTAGATATATATATATGTATATATACACACAAGAAGCCTCATCTGCATCTATTCTATTGCTTGTTTTTTTCACTTATTGGTATATTTTAGGGCTTTTCCCACAAGTAGTACATTTGTCTCCTTTTAACTAGCATATCAGTTATTTATTGCTGCATAACAGACCACCCCCAAATGTAGCAGATTAAAGTGGTTGTATTTCTGCTGCCATCAAGGAACTGTTCCACTTGTAGCGGATATGAGATGTACACAAATATGTCTAATTCAGAATTAACTGTAGTAAATGACAGCATGCTCTAGGAATCCAGAGAAGGGGAAGATTCGCCAGAACAGTCTGCTTTGGATACCTGGTCTCTTGGCACTGGGGGCATTTATGCTGAGACCATTATCCTGTGTTAGGGACTCTTGAGAAGAAATTGCTGTCTGAAGTCAGGCATGCCTTGACTGGATGACCAGCAAGCCTTGAAACATGGAAGTTGCTGCTGACATTCCGAGTTTGAAATCTGGCCCTATAATTTATGTGCTGCCAAGTAAGTAAGTAAGTAGCCTTTTAAAGTCTCTTTGATAGGTGGGGGAAACCGACATCCCTCGTGGGACTGTGTGTGCTGCTAGAAGAACGTGTCAGAGACCCGTCAGCAGGTGCACAGAGCCCTCAGTTTCTTGGGAGTGTTTCATGGTGCCTCCAGGCCAAGGAGTACCTACTGGGTCTGTTTATTAAGTAGTTAGGTTCAAGCTGCTTCCTGATTATTTAATCCAAATAACTTAGTAGCTTTTTGGAAAAATGATATATAAAAATTGAAGGAAAATTAATATAGTTGGTTTCACTCTTTTTTTTTTTTTTAAAGATTTTATTTATTTATTTGAGAAAGAGAGACAGAGTGAGATCATGAGAGGGGGAAGGTCGGGAGGGTCAGAGGGAGAAGCAGACTCCCCGCCGAGCAGGGAGCCTGATGCGGGACTCGATCCCAGGACCCTGGGACCATGACCTGAGCCGAAGGCAGTCGCTTAACCAACTGAGCCACCCAGGCGCCCTGGTTTCATTCTTAAATAATCACACATACGAATGGGGTTTGTGTGCCCGTTGGGTCAGATTAACCCTGACACTCTCATTTCCTGTTCCATATTAAATTTTTTAAGGGATTTACTTAACAGCAACTGCTGAAAACCCAGTTTTGCAAAGATCTGACATCATCAAGAGGGATTTAATATGGAAACCATGAATTGTCTCAGGCTAGAAGTTCCTGCAGTGATGGACAGGTGGCAAATATTATAATGCTCCCTCAGATGTAAATAGCCCTTGATGCCCTTGTGAGCTTAGTGCTTTGTTGTGGGGTATTTGGGAATTTAGGATATAATAAGCCCTCACTTACTAACCTGTAGTTACTCTCATTATTGTTACTGTGCTGTCATAGTGATTAATAATGTTAATTAAATTCTCTGATTCCAGGCTTGATAATTATGTAGTGATTTTTTTTTATTTCTGATATACTTAATAATGTTAATGTTAAACCATAACATGTTTGAATAGCTCAATCTCTGATTAAAATCACGTCACTGAGTGTTGAATGTTTGTCATGTTTTTTGTTTTAGTACCTCACCAGCAACAAATGTGGCAAATACGTGGACATTGGAGTCTTAGCATCTGATTTACAAAGAATGTACAGGTAAAGAGATGTAATCTCTAGATTCTTGCCTTTATTTTTAGTCTCCATCCTGCCCAAATTTCCAATTGATATTAATTGCTGCTGACATTCATTCATCAGTCCATAAGTTTAGAATTCAGTTTACTGAAGACTTATCAATTACCTGTTATATGCAAGGCACTGTCCTTGTTACTAAGGGGAATGGCTGCTTCCCTTTCAGTACTTTACAGTCTGGTCAGGAGTATGGCCTCTTTTCCTGTCTCATTAAAGAATTTAAAACCATCAGGCATGATCTCCCTGAGTTTTCTGGCTACCTCGAAATGTCTCCAGGCCCTACAGATTTAGTTTTTCTCTTGTGTCTCTAACACCACCTTTCCTGATACCTCACTCCATGAATTATCACCACTTTGTGTATTTCAGAGTCTCTGTTTTTTCTTCGTATACTAGTTCGCTAGGACTGCCATAAAAAAGTACCAGAGGCGGGGGAGCTTAAACAACAAAAGTTTAAGGCTTCCCAGTTGTGGAGGCAGGAAGTCAGTGATCGATCAAGGCACTGGCAGGGTTGGGTTCTCCTGAGGTCTCTCCTTGGCTTGCGGGTGGCTGTCTTCTCCCTGTGTCCTCACGTGGTCTTTCCGCCGTGCGTCTGTATCCTAATCTCTTATTCATGTTTTTTTAAGATTTTATTTTTAAGTAATGTACACCCAATGTGGGGCTCAGATTCACAGCCCTGAAATAAGAGTCGCGTGCTCCACCAACTGAGCCATCCAGGCACCCCTCTTACTCTTATAGAAACACCAGTTGTATTGGATTACTTTGCTTCAGTGCTCTGTCCTGTGGGCCCCCTAGGATGGCCACCCTGCCCTTTGGATCCAAGGAGACAGTGCCACTCCCTGGACCTGGGCCCCCTGCGCCCAGGGTGGTGGCAGCAGCCCTCCCACCTCACTCATCCCTTTCCTTGAAGGGTCATGCCTGTCCACAGCTGATGGCCCATCCTGTAGAATCCCAGAACTGTGGCAGCATTCCTTCACTTCATCCTTCCTGTCTCTTCCAGTACAAGCTGCCGGTGTTTCTGATGCTGTAACCCCATCTCTAATCAAGAAAAATTTACGGGGTCCCTGGGTGGCTCAGTCGTTAAGCATCTGCCTTCCGCTCAGGTCATGATCGCAGGGTCCTAGGATCGAGCTCCGCATCAGGCTCCCTGCTCTGCAGGGAGTCTGCTTCTTCTTCTCCCTCTGCCCCTCCCCCGTGCTCATGCTCTCTCTCTCTCCTCCCTTTCTCTCTCAAATAAATAAATAAAATATTTAAAAAAAAACATTTACAGGGGCGCCTGGGTGGCTCAGTCGTTAAGCGTCTGCCTTTGGCTCAGGTCATGATCACAGGGTCCTGGGATCGAGTCCCACATTGGGCTCCCTGCTCTGCAGGAAGCCTGCTTCTCCCTCTCCCATTCCCCCTGCTTGTGTTCCTGCTCTCGCTGTCTCTCTGTGTCAGATAAATAAATAAAATCTTTAAAAAAAAAATAAATAAATAAAAATTAAAAAAAAAAAAAACATTTACAGTACTGAAAATGTAAACTCAGAAGTTGCTTGAAAATAAGTTTATGGGGCACCTGGGTGGCTCAGATGGTTGGGCGTCTGCCTTCGGCTCGGGTCATGATCCCAGGGTCCTGGGATCGAGTCCCACATTGGGCTCCCTGCTTAGTGGGGAGCCTGCTTCTCCCTCTCCCTTTCTCTCTCTCTGTCTCTTATGAATAAATAAATAAAATCTTTAAAAAAAAAAAAAAGAAAGTAAATTTATGGGCAGAGTGAATACAGTGACATACTTATGTACTCGTGCAAATTAATGTGATCAATTTAGATTGAGTTTAATGGTAAAATGTTGGTGGAGACCACTGTACTGAGATTCTTGTTATGTTTTTCAGTGTAGACTATGGTCGAAGAAAAAGAAATGCTTTTAGGATTCAGGTAGAAAAAGGTGAGTCTTTTAGTGTTAGAGCTGAATTATTCATGAAGTTAAAGAGTTGTTTTATTTAGCTCATAACATTTTTCTTTTTGTTTCAGTATTTAACATAATTACTAGTGAGAAAGAACTTAAGGATCTAACAGAATTAGAAGATGAACATCTGGCAAAAAGAGCAAGACAAGGTGAAGAGGATAATGAGTAAGGATTACAGAAAAGGGGGTGTTTTTCTTTTTTTTTTTTTAAGGTTTTATATATTTATTTGACAGAGACACAGCGAGAGAGGGAACACAAGCGGGGAGTGGGAGAGGGAGAAGCAGGCTTCCCGCCGAGCAGGGAGCCCTGTGCGGGGCTCGATCCCAGGACCCTGGGATCATGACCCAAGCCGAAGGCAGATGCCCAACAATTGAGCCACCCAGGCGCCCCAAGGGGGTGTTTTTGTTAACCATGGACGCAATCACATTACATTTCTTTTTTTTTTTTTCAAAGATTTTATTTATTTATTCGACAGAGAGAGAGATAGCGAGAGCAGGAACACAGCAGGGAGAGTGGGAGAGCGAGAAGCAGGCTTCCCGCCGAGCAGGGAGCCCGATGTGGGACTCGATCCCAGGACCCTGGGACCATGACCTGAGCCGAAGGCAGACGCTTAACGACTGAGCCACCCAGGCGCCCCACATTACATTTCTATTTGTAAAATTTTCAGTGGCTCTTCATCACCATCAGGCCGCGTGTAATACTTACCTAACGTCTCCAGATCTTTGCTTCAGGCCTACTGAATGCTCACAGTTGCCTAAAGACACATTTTTGTGCTTTTGTATGAGTGGCTCTCTGTAGCTGGAATGTTCATTTCCCTGCCATGAACTCCCACCCAGCCTTCAAGAGGCCACGTCAGTGCCTTTGTTGGGCTTTCTTTTTTTTCTTTTCTTTAAAGATTTTATTTATTTATTTGACAGAGACACAGCGAGAGAGGGAACACAAGCAGGGGAGTGGGAGAGGGAGAAGCAGGCTTCCTGCTGAGCAGGGATCCCGATGTGGGGCTCGATCTCAGGACCCTGGGATCACGACTTGAGCCGAAGGCAGACGCTTGACTACTGAGCCACCCAGGGGCCCCTGTTGGGTTTTCTTAGATGCCTTTCTGCATGTTTCCTTAACCCCTGGTTACAGATGTTTGTTATGATGCTTGTCATATGGTGTTGAGATTGTTACATGTATGTATCTGCAAAAGACCCGTCTTGTTATCTTTGTTTTTCTCTGACCTGATACAATGCCGGATATGTAAAAAAGAATCATCAGCTAATTTTGTCGTTTAAGAAATAATATTGAGGGTTTTTTTCATGAATGGGTATTACATTCGTCAAATGCTTATGCACTTAATGAAAGATTTTGTTACGGTTTTTTCCCTTTGTTCTATTAATTTGGTGAATTACGTTGATTTTTTGAGTGTTAAGCCAGTCTTGCATCCTGGGATACACCCTACTTGGTCCTGATGTATTATCTTATCCTTCTTAGATACTGTAAAATCTTGTTTGCTGATCTTTTTTTGTACATGGTTATGTCTGTATTCATATTGATCTGAATTTTTTTCTTTTTTGCAGGATCTTGTTCAGGTTTTGGTATTAGGGTTATACTGGCTTCATAATAATTAGTTTGCAAATTGTTTTTTGTCTCTATTTGACGGAAAAGTTAATGTAATGTTACTGTTACCTTTCTTAAATAGTTTGTTAGAATTCACCTAGAATTCATCTTCGCCTAGAGGCTTCTTTTTGGAGAGGATTTGGATAACAGTCAATTTTGCTAGATCTAGGGCTCTTCCTATTTTCTTTTTCTTCTTTTATCGGTGTTGGTAAATTGTACTTCTAAAGGAACATGTCCATTTCAGCTAAGGTGTGGAATTTGTTGGCATAAAGTTTTCAAGATGTCCTCTCATTTTCCTTTTAATGTCTACAGGATCTGTGTTGGTAGCTCCTTTTCACTTTGCTGCCTTCTCATTTGGATTTACCATCATTTTCTTTTTTTCTTTTTCTAAAGATTTTATTTACTTATTTTGACAGAGAGAGAGAGACAGTGAGAAAGGGAACACAAGCAGGGAGAGTAGGAGAGGGAGAAGCAGGCCTCCCACCGAGCAGGGAGCCCGATGTGGGGCTCGATCCCAGGACCTTGGGATCATGACCTGAGCCGAAGGCAGATGCTTAATGACTGAGCCACCCAGGTGCCCCTACCATCATTTTCTTAACTAGTTTTGTATTCGTGGACATTTGGTTGTTTCCAGTTTTGCACTATCATATGTGCAGTAAATAATCCTTTAGCACACATGTATGTTTTTATACATTTCTTTGTTTTTTTAATGTTAAATTCTTGAAGTGGTGTTTCTGGGGTTAAAGATACTATTTTTGAGATTTCTGGTACATTTTGAGTTGTCCTCCAAACAAAGTTGCCTGGTTTCATACTCCCAGCAGCTTTGTATAAAGAGTTCATTTCTCTGCACCCTTGAGGTCCTGGTAGTACTATTCTTTAATCTTTGCCAGTTTCATGGGCAAAAATGGATTTTTTTAAAAAAGATTTTTATTTAGTTATTGAGAGAGGGAGAGAATGATAGAGCATTAGAGGGAGGAGGGTCAGAGGGAGAAACAGACTACCTGCTGAGCAGGGAGCCCAATGGCGGGACTCGGTCCTGGGACTCCAGGATCATGACCTGAGCCCAAGGCAGGCACTTAACCAGCTGAGCCACCCAGGCGCCCCTTGATACGTTTTTATTTGTAGTTTTTTGATAACTAGTGAGGTTAAATATTTAACTGTTTCATGTTTCCTCGGTTAGTTGCTTATGGGTTTTGTCTTTTCTTTGAGAGGTATTTGAATTTTCCATATTAGTTGTCAGATTCCTTTGTATAAAATAGCATCCCCTTTTATTTAGTTATTTTTTTTAGATTATCAGAGAAAGATTTTTTTTTTTAAAGGATTTTATTTATTTATTTGACAGAGAGACAGCGAGAGAGGGAACACAAGCAGGGGGAGTGGGAAAGAGAGAAGCAGGCTTCCCGCCGAGCAGGGAGCTTGATGTGGGGCTTGATCCCAGGACCCTGAGATCACGACCTGAGCCGAAGGCAGTCGCTTAACCAACTGAGCTACCCAGGGGCCCCCAGAGAAAGATTTAAAAAAAAAAAATTTTTTTTTTTTTTTTAAAGATTTTATTTATTTATTCATGAGAGAGAGAGAGAGAAGCAGAGGGAGAAGCAGGCTCCCAAGGAGCAGGGAGCCCGATGTGGGACTCGATCCCAGCACCCTGGGATCATGACCTGAGCCGAAGGCAGACTCTTAACCATCTGAGCCACCCAAGTGCCCCTAAAAATTTTTTTATTGTTATGTTAATCCCCATACATTACATCATTAGTTTTAGATGTAGTGTTCCATGATTCATTGTTTGTGCATAACACCCAGTGTTCCATGCAGAACGTGCCCTCCTCAATACCCATCACCAGGCTAACCCATCCTCCCACCCCCGTCCCCTCTAGAAACCTCAGTTTGTTTTTCAGAGTCCATTGTCTCTCATGGTTCGTCTACCCCTCCGATTCCCCCCCTTCATTCTTCCCCTCCTGCTACCTTCTTTTTTTTTTTTTTCTTAACATATATTGCATTATTTGTTTCAGAGGTACAGATCTGAGATTCAACAGTCTTGCACAATTCACAGCGCTTACCAGAGCACATACCCTCCCCAGTGTCTATCACCCAGTCACCCCATCCCTCCCACCCCACCCCCCACTCCAGCAACCCTCAGTTTGTTTCCTGAGATTAAGAATTCCTCATATCGGTGAGGTCATATGATACATGTCTTTCTCTGACTTCTTTCTTTTTTTTTTTTTTTTAAAGATTTATTTATTTGACAGAGAGAGGCAGGGAGAGAGGGAACACAAGCAAGGGGAGCAGGGAGAAGCAGACTCCCCGCTGAGTTGGGAGCCTGACATGGGGCTCGATCCCAGGACCCTGGGATCATGACCTGAGCTGAAGGCAGACGCTTAACAACTGAGCCACCCAGGCGCCACTCTCTGACTTATTTCTAATAGCACCTCCTTTTATATGTATTATAGACTGTTCCATTTTGCCATTTGCCTTTTATTGTTGTTTAAAGTGTCTTTTTTTTTTTTTTTTGAGAGAGAGACACACAGCGAGAGAGGGGACACAAGCAGGGGGAGTGGGAGAGGGAGAAGCTGAGCAGGGAGCCCGATGCGGGGCTCCATCCCAGGACCCTGGGATCATGACCTGAGCTGAAGGCAGACGCTTCACTGACTGAGCCACCCAGGCGCCCCTTAAAGTGTCTTTTGATTAGAGAAGTTCTGCATCTGTACCTAGTCAGATTTGTCAGTCATTTCTTTTATGGTTGATGCGGATGTGCTTAGAAAGACCTATCACTGGAGTATATGGGATTATTGCCTGTACTTTTTCTTTGTTTATTTATAGCATTACATTTAACTCTTTAATCCATTTGTAATTAACTTTGTAGGGTGTGACTCATAGGGCAGAATGGGTTTTTCCCCAAATAGTTGAATAATCCACCTTCTTTACATTGATTAGAAATACCCAAACTGTGGTGCCTGGGTGGCTCAATCGGTTAAGCGGCTGCCTTCAGCTTAGGTCATGATCCCAGGGTCCTGGGATCGATCGAGCCCTGCATCGGGCTCCCTGCTCAGGGGAGAGCCTGCTCCCTCTCCCTCTGCCTGCCGCTCTGCTTGCTTGTGCTCTCTATTTCTGTTAAATAAATAAATAAAAATCTTAAAAAAAAAAAAAATGAACCCAAACTTATGTTAATAGAATTTAATGAAAAACAAAAGAATTCATGTCTTAATTACGAAGGTGGGTCATAGCATTTATGTAAACCTTTTTACTTAGGAAGAGTCCTTTTCTTATTTAATTATTTTCTAAAGACATTTTATTAAATAGTAGCAGGGTCCTGTAGTTACTTGAAGCTATTCAATATCAACTCTGGGTTATGATGAACTGAGACTGCATTCTCAGTTTGTAGTTATTAGGATTTATGCCTGTTCCTCGCTGTATGATATGAAAACCTCTTTGTACCTTCATTTCTCATGGACAGACTTGGGAAAACTGTACCTGGTCACGTGGCTGGGTCATGTGGAATTTGTGAATTTGTTACACAATTACTTAATTATGGCTTGCTGGAATATTTCCTTTTTTTGGGCATCTGATATTCCTAATGAGACCCTTGGGTCTGATAGGAATTTGCATTTCACTTTTATTTATTGCTAGGATTAAGATAACCACAGTTTATTAAGCATTTATTATGTACTCTAAGGACTTGGGGAGCTTCTCTTGAATCCTCTAATAACCCAGTGAGGGTGGACATTACTTATTCTTACTCTTTATAGATACGGAAGCTGATCCTCACAGAGATTAAGTAGAAGCTAGAAACCAGCAGTGTTGTATTTTGAATCCAGATTTCTTTTAACTCCAGAGCCTGGACCCTTAACCACCATAATATTTTGCCTTAGTATATTTTTTGTTTAGGGTAGTAATTTTTTAGAATGTGGGAGAAAAGCCTTTAAAATGTTTCTTTCCCTCTTCTTACTGAGGTTTACTGAAAGCTATTCAGATGATGATTCAAATATGGAAGACTACCCAGATCCACAGGTAAGCCAGACATTTAATGGACCCACTTTGATTTTCTTTTTTTTTTAATTATTATGAACCCTCCTTAAAAAAATCAGTGTGGAATAGAATCAGAGACTTTGAACATCTCCATCAATAAATAATTAAAATACTTCTGTGTATAGTGTTGAAGAAATCTCCGGATGGCTATCTTTTCAGTATTTGTGTTTATAGCCTGTTTCATAGGGAAAAAGGGGAAGAGAGTGGCCAGAAATAAGGGCACATGGGAAGAGAAAGGGGAATTAACAGTAAAAATTGAGAAAAGGATACATTTTCTACCAAAGGGCTGGCATTGCCAAGAAGTAGGTTTCAATTAAAGGGAAATGTAGAAATAATATACTAGATGATTTTTCTTTTAAAGATTTTATTTGAGAGAGAGAGGATGAGAGAGAAAGAGAGCACGAGAGGGGGGAGGGTCAGAGGAGGCTGAGCAGGGAGCCTGATGTGGGACTCAATCCTGGGACTCCACGATCATGACCTGAGCCCAAGGCAGTCGCTTAACCAACTGAGCCACCCAGGCATCCCTGCTAGATGATTTGTAGCTTACTATTTTTTCCCCAACGGTAATTCAGTTTTTTAATTTATTAACAAAGTCAGGACGATAACGAGTTATTCTGATCCAGTATTGACTTGATGGGCTAGTAGTGACTCTCCTTGACAGCCAGCTCATTTTTATACCTGATTCTTTTGTACTTTTTAAAAGCGAGCTTACTTACTTGGTTTTATTTAACTTCCATGTATGAATTGGTGCATTAACTTGAGGTGAAGGGGGGGACATTGTTTATGAACAGTAAATGTTTGAAGCGTCTTATTGTGGACCCCGGTGTTTTCCGGCTAAAATGCTATGAGAGAAGCTGTGGGGAGTGCAGTGTACTGGTAACCAGCTTTCCACAAGGACCTGGGAGGAATTCATGCTGATGTCGTGTTTCTGCCAGGCAGCAAATCACATGAACAGCTCCCTGCTCTCCTTATATCGGAAAGGACATCCTGAATCTGTTTCAAGGACTCCCGAGATGGAGCCCAGAGAAACCACTGGCTCGAGCCCATGGACACCTTCCGGAACACGCTCCATCCCCTTGAAGACCCCAGCCAGAGGTTCTGAGGGAGGGTGGTTTATCGACAGAACTGGTGGAAAGATGGACGTGACAGATGAGAAGAGTAATCACAAGAAGCTAGGATCTGAGATAGAGGTATTTTTGTTGTGGAATTTAGCCTTAAGTAGTTGGAGCCCATTACCCCCTTTCCTGAATGTAGCATCAGCAGACTCTTGTGTTTCATGAAGGGCGTGGGGATTTGGAAGCACACAGAGAACGTGGGCATGTCCTGTTACTGCCACCGTTTCTGTCCAAGTCCAAGCCTTAACTACTTAAGTAATCTCCCCTCACTTTATTCTCCACACACAAATGTCGTTTTTTGGTTTATTTGTTTGTTTTTTAAGATTTGATTTATTTGAGAGAGAGAGAGGGAGAGAACAGAGGGAGAGGGAGAAGCAGGCTCTCCGCTTAGCAGGGAGCCCAGTGCGGGCCTGGATCCCAGGCCCCTGGCATCATGACCTGAGCTGAAGGCAGACGCTTCACAGACTGAGCCACCGAGGCGCCCCATAGATGTTGTTTTTACAAGTCAGATTGTTCTCATTCATGTATTAGAAATGGCTTCGTTCAGTCTAAAATCAAAGGCCTTATGGGGCACCTGGGTGGCTCAGATGGTTAAGCGTCTGCCTTCGGCTCAGGTCATGATCTCAGGGTCCTGGGATCGAGTCCCGCATCGGGTTCCCTGCTCAGTGCAGAGCCTGCTTCTCCCTCTCCCTCTGCCACTCCCTCTGCTTGTGCTCTTCTGTCTAGCTCTCTGTCAAATAAATAAATAAAATCTTTAAAAAAAAAGGCCTTATAGTGGCCAGCAAAGCCTTGTGCGCGCAGCTGCCCTGCTGGCTCTTCAGTCATCTCCTCGGCCTCCATGGCCTTGGGTTGTTTCTAGAACACGCCACGCACGCTCACCTGGGCCTGTGCACTTGTGCTTCTGTCTGGAACTGTCCCCAGATTCCTGTGACTCACATCTTGTTTCCCTGGAATCTTGGCAGCGTCCTTTCCTGATGTGTAAAATACCATGTCATTGGATACCGTTTGCTTCATCTCCTTTTTGTCAGGCACTTAGGACCACTTAGAACTTGCTGTGTAATTGTTTAGTTGGGTTTTTTCTTTGACTTTCTCCACTAGAATGTCCACTTCAGGGGAACAGGACCTTTGGTTTGTTTAATAATGTCTCCCTGGCTAATATGCAGCTAACAGGGGGCATCTGGGTGGCTCAGTTGGTTGAAAGTCTGAATCTTGACTTTGGCTTGGGTCATGATCTCAGGGTCCTGGGATTGAGCCCAGCATAGGGCTCTGCACTGGGCGTGGAGCCTGCTTGAGATTCTCTCCCTCTGCCCCCACTTGTGCATGCATGTGTGTGCTCTTTAAAACAAATAAAATCTTAAAAATAATAAAAAGAAATAAAATGCATCTGACATGTAGTTGTCAGTTTGTTGAATTAGTGCCTGATGAGCCTTCCAAGGTGCATTTACCAGTGCAAGTTAAAGAACAGGTACCTTGGGCATGTGTTACAGAAGGTTGGTCGTTGTCGGAGGAAGGGAAGTTAGCGCGGAAACAGCGTATGGCTCATTTTGAGCTTAGGGTAATGCTTTGAGGGGGCCTGCACAAATGGGTACACCACAAAAATGTACAGAATTAGTAGACACCCTTTTTTTAACCTAAGTTGAACTGTACCATACATAAAAGTAAAGCTGGATGAATTACCACAAAGTGAACACACTGGGCACCAACCTTAACTAGTTTTTAACGCCCGAGAGAATGAGAGGATTCACAGTAATCTGCCCCACGATAGTCCCTGAGGACGCCCCTGGGGCTCACTGTCCAGCGTGGTAAGTGCTAGCCACGTGTGGCTCTTGAACATTCAAAATGCAGTTAGTGTGGCTCTTGAACATTCAAAATGTGGTTAGTGTAAATGAGGGACTGAATTTTTTTTTTTTTAATTTTTATTTTTCCAAAGATTTTATCCATTTATTAGAGAGAGAGTGCACAAGCAGGGGGAGCAGCGGGCTTCCCGCCGAGCAGGGAGCCTGTTGTGGGACTCCATCTCAGGACCCTGGGATCATGACCTGAGCCGAAGGCAGATGCTTAACGACTGAGCCACCCAGGTGCCCTAATCATCTGTTTTTAGAGAACATTATTGCAAAGGCTGAGGAAACAGCTTGACTCTTACGTTGAATCATACTTTTTTATGGCTTTCAAAGCAGCTCTGTAGTCCTGTTTAATTTAGTGATTCATCTGACATCACATGAAGACCCACTGGTGAAAGGCTTGGTGAGAAGTACAAGATGAACATTAGTGTTTCATCTCTAGAAGCTCACAGTTCCGTGAAAGACACAGAAGTGCTCACATACAAGGCAGATCATGGCAGGCTATCCTGCACTTGCAAATTCAGTGTTCTCGGAGTGTGAGTAAGAGGTTAATTCTAACTGGAGGAGTCTGGAAAGGAAGTTTTCACGTGCGAGATAGAAACTGAGCTTTCAGCTGCAGAAAAGAAGGCCGATCCGCAACAGAGACCATGCCTGAGCACGGAGGTTGGGCATAGGTGCCAGTGCCCGGCCGGGAATGCTTTATTTTCAGTCATGCCCGTGTTGAAGGAAACATCACTGGTATTGTGATGTCAAGCAAGGCATGTTGAGATTTCTTTTCTTTCCAGGATCCCAAAGATGCTTCTCTTCTGGAGTGTAGTGAAAAAAGGAAAGTCCGGCTGAAGAGCAAAGGAAGCAAAAGGAAGAAAGACCTTCAGGAAGCAGATGGAGAAATAGAAGCTGTCCTGCAGCAGAAAGGTGAGCTGCGAGTCCTGGGGGCTGGGGCGGCGGGGCGGGGGGGGCGGTGGGATGGGCTTCCGGAGCGGCGTCCTCCGTTCCAGCCCTTGTGCTCGGGGTACCTGCCGTGTGCAGTGATGTCTATAAGAAAAGCCTTCAGTGACCCCATAGACCTCGGTTTGCTGAGACATTATTCAATAGAACTCTGAATTACTACTGAATCACTAATGTTTCCTTCTTCTCTTTTGTGTACCAGCTAAAGCCAAGGAGCTAGAGTTACAGGTCTCCAAGGTGAAGTTTGAAGATGTTGGAGGCAATGATACGACGTTAAAGGTTAGTTTGAGTGCAGAATTTACTCAGATGAGCTTATTGCCGCTTTGTTTCTGGTAGGAACTGGGGGTGGAAAGGAGCCTGGGTGAGGGGAGAAGGGCAACCCTGGCTTGTACCTTCAGGGTGCTGAGGGGTAAAGGAAGAGTAGCACCTTCCACTTTTCCACCACGGGGATCATGGTGTGCGGAAGATGCGTGCTTTGTGGGTGATACTGCTTTAGCAGAAGTGAGTGACGGTTACTGTTTACTGAGTGTCTGCTCTGTTCCAGTTAACCACGAGTCGCGTCTGCGAGGCTGTGAGGTAGATGTTACGACAGCTGGGAGAAGGGGTGCGGAGAGGTTCCTGCTGGAGTCCGTTAGGCACCAGAGCTGGGCTTCAGACTGGGCTTCAAACTTGCCAAAAGAATAGACTTTCCTTCCACGCGGATTCTTTCTCCTCTTGGGCCGAGAAAGACTTCTTTCCTGTCCGTTCCCTCCAGGAGGTGTGCAAGATGCTCATCCACATGCGTCACCCCGAGGTGTACCACCACCTGGGCGCCACCCCGCCGCGCGGAGTCCTCCTTCACGGGCCGCCAGGCTGCGGGAAGACGTTGCTCGCACACGCCGTTGCTGGGGTGAGGTTTGCCCGCGTGCCTTTGCTTCGGTTGCTTTTGTTCCGTGTGTCCTTGTTCCTCTTCGGTCAGCTTGAACCAGACATGGCATATTCTCCGGAGGACCGGCCCCTCTGCATTTCTACCCATCCTGCTGCCGTTCATGAGATGCTGTTGCTTCAGAGCAGTCAGTTATTTAGACGGCAGGGGCTGGGTGGGAAGCAAGGTGATGGGGCCTAAACACCCTTCTTGCAGCACGCAGTTTGTTTCAGTTACTTCTCTTTCCCTTTAAGCCAGTGGTTCTCAGAAGCAGTAAATGAGAAAACTAAGGATTGTATTGTTTTTCCCAGAACTAAATTTACTCAAAATTTCTATTCGAGTCATATTCTTATACTTTTTTTTTTTAGATTTTTTTTCTTAATTTTTAAATAATCTCTACACCCAGCGTGGGGCTCAAACTCATGACCCCGAGATCAGGAGTCACATACTCACTGATTGAGTCAGCCAGGCACCCCATGTTCTTGTACTTTTTAGTGTGAAAATAGCCTTTCTAAAATGGTGATCATACTTAGGTGGCAAAATGAAAAGGTAGCCATCTTATTTTTGTCCTATCAGATTTTTCAGAAACTGTGTTGGGTGGTAAAATGCACAATGTCTGAGTGACTACAGTTTGAAGAATAGTGTTTTATACCAGTGACGAATAGGTTAGTGCTCTGTGCCGGGAGCTCGTTCTTACAGGAGAACTAATGGATTTGCCTCATTGGTTCCTTTGTTGAGTAAACGGTCGTGTGACCGCTGCATGGCAGACGTTGAAACAGGGATGAGTGCAGCAAACCCAGTCTCGTAGGAGAGGCCGCGTGAGGCAGCCATCACCCAAGCAAACGACCGCAGTCACAGCAGTCACGAGTGGGGGACTCGGGGTGCAGCACGCGGGCGGTGTCTCTGTGGGACTCCTGTGGCTGACACGGTGATTTTTAGAACCGTTAGGAGTAGAATGAGCAGGCTGGATGCCGTGGGTGCCACGGATGGGGCACGGGGCGGGGGGCGGCAGCGGCACTTGCCCCTCCTTCACTTCGGGAACCTGTCTTCTGAAGGATACCAGGCTCCTTCCCTGGGGGCCCAGTGACACGTGCCAGTCGGACCAGTGGGACACAACTGTGTCACGACCCCTCCGATCCTTTCCAGCAGAGAAATAACTGGAATTGTTCTGGCTCAGTCTAAGCAGGGGGAGCCTATCTCTGGAGAGTCAAGACCCTTTACTCCAAAGAGTTGACAAACGGGGTTGCACAGTGCCTTCAGTAAAAGTAAAAACAAGTGGCCGGGGCGCCTGGGGGGCTCAGTCGGTGACGTGTCTGTCTTTGGCTCATGTCATGATCTCAGGGTCCTGGGATCAAGACCTAAAACCGTAGATCTTTAAATAATGTTTCTCATCAGACCAACACAAAAAGATGAAGTTTCTCAGAAAATTGGGCATTTAAAGAATGAAATTTTGAGGGGTGCCCCGGGTGGTCAGTTGAGTGTCTGCCTTCGGCTCAGGTCATGATCCCAGGCTCCTGTGATTGAGCCCCTCATCGGGCTCCCTGCTCAGTCTGCTTCTCCCTCTCCCTCTGCCTTCCACTACCTCTGTTTGTGCTCTCTCTCTCTCTCTGTCAAATAAATAAAATCTTAAAAAAATAATTTAAAAAACATAAAATTTTGAGAGAGGGACTGAATGAGGAACAGGTAGGGAAGATAAATTCTGACAATGTGGTGATTCTTTCACGTATTTCTATCCAGGAACTGGACCTCCCAATTCTGAAGGTAGCTGCCACGGAGATTGTGTCCGGAGTATCTGGGGAGTCTGAGCAGAAGCTGAGGGAGCTGTTTGAGCAGGCCGTGGTGAGTCCGACCCACATCGGGTCGTCAGGTCACCTGTGGTTATGACAGAGAACTCGCGATGGCTAAATACTTAAAGTAGATGCATGGTACAGACTGTTGGCCAAACTAATCTGTTGAATCTGCTGTCAGGCAGAACTGTAATTGGCAAGGAGTTCCGGGTTGTCATAGCCACTGGGTATATGTTGAAAATAGATTATCCTGGTGGTATTTCCTTTCACTTTTACTTCCCCCAAATTAAGTTTAGCAAATAGCTTGTAAGTTGTGTGAAAATTGTTCATCTTTAGGATTATCACATTATAAAAGTAGCCATAGAAATGCCAGGATAAACTCTTCTGTTTGCCTAATTGAACCAGTGAAAAGAAAATCCTGTTAACAGAGAAATTACAGATCGGATTTTATCCTAACTGTAAATCCTGCTGTTAAAACGCGAGTGACAGCAGATGCTCAGTAAACACAGGGTCTGCCCCTCTCTACCAGTCCCTATTACCTGATGGAACAGAGCACGCTTGGGTGTGTGGGTCAGAGAACAAAAACGGTCCAAGCGGATCACGTGGTTCTTTGTTGAGAACTGTAGGCTTTCCTCCGGCTGAATTCTGATGACCATCACTTACTTTCTTACTCTTTTTCTCACTGAGTTTTTCCGGTCCTGGGCAGATACTGTTGTCCTCGCCCCCGAGACCTTTGCTGTCTGTGACCTGACTCCGTACCTGGGTGCTGTCTGTAGCAGTCCTCGCTGCTCCCGTGCCCGAGTCGTCACCGGGAGGATTGGGAAGCGAGCCGGCTAGTGATGGGCCAGATCTTCCCTATAAATTGCCGTGGTCCCCGTGGTGTTGAGACACCTTAGCCGGGCTCAGAGTCTGACCCTTAGCTTGATCAGTGTCACTGAAGAACTAGGAATGAGTGTGCTGGTGATTGCATCTCTCGATATTTTTATTTAAATTTTTCATGTTAACTGATCTTCCTCTCCTTTTGTTTGTTTTTATTGTGGTAAAATATGTTAAACTTGCCATTTTAAACATTTTTAAGAGTACAGTTCTGTGATTGTAGTAAGACACTCACGCGTTGTGTGACTGTCACCCCCAGCATCTCCCCAGCCTGAACGCATGCTCTCGGGCCACCGACCCGTGCCTTCCCTCCCCAGCCCCCGGGCGCCGTGGCTCTGCTCCCAGCAGTTGGTGCTTCTGTCTGAACCTCCTGTCTCCACTCTGTCCAGTCTGCGCCTTGAAGAACACGCACGGGGAGGGTGCTCGTCGTCCACACGGCGTACCGGGGACTCCCCTCCCTCCCTTCCTCAGCGCGGTCCTCACGGCCGCTGCTGGTTCTCTGGCTCAGCGTGTGCTCACTCACTGGTCGTACCTCGTAGCATCGAGGATATGCCTCGTTGATGAAAGAATTTCAGTGACTTGCTCACCACAAAGCACGGGTGGATGAGAGGGTTGGAAGCGTGGTAGCCTTTGTGCAGTCTCTCCCCGCCCTCTGTGCAGCATCTTAAGTCCGATGAAAGCAGAAGTGATAACGCCAGGAACTGCCTTCTTGAGTGCTGCTCGTTTGCTGAACGACCCGCGGACTCCAGGATTCTTTAAAACATACAGACTGAACTATGCTGCAGTGTGGGGAATGTCTTTATGATTGTCTTCTGTGATACTTTTATTTCCAGTCAAACGCACCCTGTGTCCTTTTTATTGATGAAATTGATGCTATTACCCCCAAGAGAGAAGTTGCTTCAAAAGACATGGAACGAAGAATTGTAGCCCAGCTCCTTACCTGCATGGATGGTCAGTTTAAAATAATTCATTTTCAGATAATAAATTGTGGGTTTTTTTAATAGTGTAAGTAACGTGAGGATATGAGACATTCGGGTAGAATAACACTGAGAGTAAAAAATCCTTTTCCTAAAAGATTGTCTTGTTAATTTTTTGGAGTACATCTTATGGTTATTTTAATGCGTTTATACATACACACAAGCACTAACATTGTTTTGCTTCTTACAATGCTGTGATTGCACCATTCACATTGTTCTGTGACTTGCTTTGTGTATCTTAATGCTCCTTCTTGGAAATGTGGCTGTTTTAATGCATTTAAATTTACCTTTTAACTGCTGTCTGGTATTCTTTTTTTTTTTTTTTTTTAACTAAGGTATAATGTATTATTTGTTTCAGAGGTACAGGTCTGTGATTCATCTGTCTTGCACAATTCACAGCGCTCACCATAAGCACATACCCTCCCCAATGTCCATCACCCAGCCACCCCATGCCTCCCACCCCCGCTCCACTCCAGCAACCCTCAGTTTGTTTCCTGAAATTAAGAGTCTCTTATGGTTTGTCTCCCTCTCTGGTTTCGTCTTGCTTCATTTTTTCCTCCCTTCCCCTATGATCCTCTGTCTTGTTTCTCACATTCCTCATGTGCTACATGGTATTCTTTAGGACAGGTTTATTATATTGAACATAAGCATTCCCATTTTGATAAATGTTTAAGTTGTTTTGTTTTTTGCTTTACAAGAAGCTGTAGGGAATCTCCTGAGTGGGCCTGTTTGGTGCATACATATTTTTCTAGGATAAATACTAAAAATTAAGGTGATGGTTAAGGGTTATACACTTTAAATTTTGTGGGAAATGGCAAACTGACTTCAGAAGAGTTTGCAGTGTGCACTTCCCCATCCTCTGAGACGCCCTGTGTCCAGGTCCCTCCATGACCCCGACTGTCACCGTATTCTCATGGTTGATAGGTTGGTGGTGATGATGGAGATCTCACCTTGTTGTTCTTTGCATTTCCCTGTTTTCACTGGAGGTTGATTGTCTTTCCATATTCTTTGACTATGTGTATCACTCCAAATCCCTTTCTCAGCCTGTGCTGTGTTACTGAATTTTTTAAAATTGGTTTGAAGGAATATTTTAGTTTGTTATGGAAGCAGACTCCTTGTTAAATGTATCGCATTTATTTCCTCCCAGTCTGTAACTTATTTTTCAGTTTTGTTCATTCGTTTTTAGATAGAAATTTGGAGGGAAGGTAGATACACTTTTGGAACTAAATCCTGCCTCTGGTGCAATACTGTGGGGTTTCCGTACGCAAGATAATTTGAAGTAGGGCAGGTTTTGGGCTCCTTGTGGCGCTGGTTGCAGGTTGCTTATTCTGCTCCTTTATTTTCCCGTAGTAAAGTTTTCTTGCCATGCTTTGAGGCCTCTGTTCTGAATTACCATATCGAAGCTACAGTGTTACCCGTTATAAGATACGTGGTTCTCTAAGGAGAGACACCAGCAGTCATACTGAGACACGATGCCTATCCCATGATGGTAGAAGCATTCTGATTTCAGAGATTTTACAATGTGGAAGAAAGGAACAAGCACAGGGACTAGGCAGATGACCCATTACTAGAGCTTTACTGAAAGTTGGGGTTAGTTGGGGTTTCCAGTGTGTGTGTGTGTTTTAGGGTCCCCTCTGCGAACAGAACAGAGAAAACATTCAACAGTTCAGAGGACACAGTCATGCCCCAAGTAGTCTGTCCCAGGTGGTGGTTTTTCCCCTCCAGTTTGAGAATTTTTAAAAAATATTAATTCAGAGTTTAACGAATTTGAATTTTAATAATTTGAAACTTTTAAGTAAATTATTTTAAACAAGGTAACAAGGAGACCACTGAAGAGAACTAATTTTACCTAATTTCAGAAACTTAAACTTGGGCATAACTCTAATTATTAAGAGCTGGAAAGCATCTTAAAATATTATCTTGTCCATGAGGAAAGCGATGCACAGTGAGCCAGGACCTGTATTCAGTGGATCATTGGCAAAGCCTGGGCTAGGCTCCAGATGTCTCCACACACGTATATGGCTGATGGGCTGTCTGCAAATGCGTGCTTTGTTTAGGAGACCTGGTGTCCCACAAACAGGTTTTGTTCTGTGTAGAAAGACGACTTTGCTTCTTCCATAATATTCCAAAATTCAAACTTGTGGCTAATGTAATGTCAGTTTAACATGGTCATATCATATTGGGGAAGAGGGAGAAGAAGAATGGGATTTATCTTGAAGTCACTGGCAGGAGATGCCAGCCAGTCCTAGGTGAGGTCTGATTTTTTATCTTTCATGCGTCAGGAAAAAATAGCATTTGACATAAGCGCTTCCGTTGCTGACTGTTGATTTCCTGTGGAAGGGTATTTTTCATGCCTGAAGATTTCACAGTTTTCCATGACTGTTCTCATTGAATTCTGTTACTGACCCCCGATAAGCTCAGAGTTCACTGAGACCACAGTGTCTGAGTGACCTGACCTGGAAGAAGGAAGCGCCCCTGGTCGCGGCTGTAGCTGTGGGTATTGGAGCCACGTGAGCCCACTGGGGAGCAGCTCTGGCCCCGTCCCTGCCCTGGTGCAGGGCGCTCGGCGTAGCCAGAATGGCCTCACGGGAAGCACGTGTGCGGCTCATGGTTACAAGGTGCCACCTCTTTTCCTTAGAGTGTTCGAGTTCAGTGGCCTCTCCTATCATGAATCTCTTCCTTGAGCTTTTATGCAGTTTTCAGAAAGTATTTAAGAGCCCTCTTGTCTCACTCAAGCCAAAATTTATGAAAGGAGTAGTCACTGTCAGCTAAGTGCAGGCTTGTGTTTCCGGTCTACACCACACCCTGTCCCTACTCGTCTGTCCCCGACATTTTACTGAGGCTAATCCTGTGACAGTCGTGGGGGAACCTCTCATGGCCGCATCTGGTGGCTTTCAGCGCTCATCTGTCCGAACCTCTGTTCTTTTTTTTTTTTTTTAAAGAGTTTATTTATTTATTTGAGAGAGAGAGAGAATGAGAGAGAGCACATGAGAGGGGGGAGGGTCAGAGGGAGAAGCAGGCTCCCTGCCGAGCAGGGAGCCCGATGCGGGACTCGATCCCGGGACTCCAGGATCATGACCTGAGCCGAAGGCAGTCGCTTAACCAACTGAGCCACCCAGGCTCCCCGAACCTCTGTTCTTTAGTTTCCTCGTCCCTAAACCTACCTGTTACAGGGGTGGCGGGGGTTGGCCAAGGGGCCAGCTGCACCCTAGCGCCTGGCACGCAGCGAGCCATCAGTGAGCGTCAGCACAGTGGTTCTCGAGAGCTTTCATGCCCATCGACCACCTCGTCCTGGGCGTTGTTGGCACACGTGGCTTGAGTGCCAGTGCCCTCTTTGTGTCCTTGCTCTGGCTCTGGCAGCTCCTAGCTGTTCTCCTGTCCCTTAGACAGAGGCGGCCTGTAGGGCTTCCCACTTGCCCTTCTCGTCTTGCCTTCTGCCTGATGAGCAGCTCTTTAGGAAACAAGAAGGCATCCGTAACCTAGATTTCTGATCAGTGTCACACTCCTCTTCCCGGCTGCCTGCCAGGTACCCCACGCTCTGTGTGCCCGGGCCAGACCCATTTCCCCTTTCTGTCCCTCTGCCCTCCTGTTTGCGTGCTCTCCACAGCATCACCTCCCTGCTTGTCCAGACCTGAGTGCTCTTGGTCTCTCCCCTCCCTCGCCCTTCACACCTTCCTCGGGGAATGATTTAGTGCCCTGGGCTGCATCTGAAGCCTCGCCCTGCAGCTGGGCCTCTCCTGCTTCTTCCCCGCGTTCCTGCCTTATTGTGTCCTTTGTCCCCTGATGGCTGCTATCAAATCACACTGAGCTCTGCTCCCCTCTGTTCCTCTCTACTTTTAGAATTGTCTTTCCAACACACACATCTTCTGAGAAAAACCTTTCCTGGCCTCCTGTGGGCTAAGGAATGTTCTACAGATTCCTCATGACCCAGCCATTAAGGTACTGAATTAGCATCTTCCTATCTTGTTACTGTTACCTGTGGGGAGTGTGACCTCAGACCTCAGGTCAGACCTCTGCTGCCGCCGCCCCCCCCCCCCCTCCCCGCTCAGTGGAAAGAAGTAAGACTGGAAGGAGACCTGCTGGGCCGTGCATTCTGCCATTCCTAAAACTGTCTCTAGATGACGCCAGAGCAATGGAAGACTATAGGTGCACACCTCCCCCACCCCCGCCATGTCCATGCCCCTTGGCTCTTTGGAGACCTGCACTGCGCGTTCTCTCCCAGACTCCCCGCTGCTGGGCGGCCCCCCTCTCTGAGCCCGCCACACATGTGTGTGCCTCTGCTGTCCCTCCCAGCCTCTGTTCATGCACAGCTTCATTAATGTGGACCTGCTTATGAATATCCTACTCCTCCTTCAAGGCTTTCCCTGAATGTGCCTGTGAATCCATGCTCTCTTCTGTTGTCTCACTATGACGCTCTATACCCATCGCCATGCGTCACAAGATTTGTTCGGTGGGTTTTTCAATAGACTGCAAGCTGCTTGAGGACAAAGTGTATATTTATTCTCCTCGCGTCTTTCACGTAATGGATAATTAGTAAATGTTAGCTTTCTATGTGTATTGACGTCCAAACATGTACTACTCTCTAACCACTCACAAGACTTACATAAGCACCGTTGTCTGCCATCCTGGTGTCTTGGTCACCGCTCACCCTGTATCTGCTTTTTACCAGATCTGAATACCATGGCCACGACGGCCCGGGTCCTCGTCATTGGAGCCACCAACCGACCGGACGCCTTAGACCCTGCTTTGAGACGTGCAGGAAGGTTCGACCGAGAGATATGCCTCGGGATCCCAGACGAAGCCTCCAGGGAAAGGTACGCTCTTGAAAGATGAAGTTTGTGCGTTGCTGTGTCATCTGAACTGAATGCTTTGGAAACGAGGGCTGAGAAGTACCACATAGTTTCTTTCTTTGTTCTCGTGCCAGTAACGTTGGTTTGGAACCCACGGCTGGTGTCACTCAGTCGGCTGATCAGCTGAGGGATAGCGTGGGGAGCCGTGGAGCCGAGCCGTGCTTGCTGGCCCACATGGAGGTTACATCGAACTTTCACCTGTTGCGTTAACCTGCTTAAGACACAGGTGTCACAACAAAAGGCAGCCAGAGAGCTGAAAGCTGTGTGTGTTTGTTGCAGGACCAGCCTGTCCTAGGAGGTGGGGTCGAGTGTCCGTAGAGCAAAGAAAGCTCCACCAGTATGTCAGTAAGCAAAGACCACCGGGAGGCACCGGTGAGGCTGAGGAGCGGAAATCTAGCAGAGAGGTCTGCTGGCCCACCCCGGCTCAGTGGATACATGGTGGCTTTTGGCTCAGGGTTCGTGACGCCAGTGTCAGCATCTGTGGTCCCCAGCAGCTTTCAGGAAGAGTGGTGTGTAGTACGAGGAGACAGTCATGGGCTGGCGAGGGAGCTGCAGAGAAGGGGAGGCCCAGGGGATGCAGGACAGAGAAGTGCTCATTAGGCACGTGGGTGGGAGAGGCGGTGGGGAGAAGGCATTATCCTTCCTCCTTCCCGGCACGTAAGTCCTTCAGCTTTGGATTGTCGGCCAGTTTCTTCCTCCGTTGCCGTAGCCACAGTCGAGCACGTGGTGATTGTGTTCCCACACGTGTGGTCTTGCACAGTCACTCAGCCATTCAGGTTCGTCCACTCATGTTTAAACCCGTAGCACAGTGATATTTAACATTTCCGTGGTTCATATTTATTCAGCAAACAGGTTGAGCATACAGCGTGTGCACATACCACTGTGGAGGGCGATACGATGAATGCAGAGAAGTAGGAGTCCTTGCTTTCAGGATGCATATGGTCCAGTAAGAGTTCTAGAAGTCAGGACTGTGTTCTTCCTCAAGCCTTTGTTTTGTCCAGAGCCCAAACGACATGGAGACATAGACACAGCGAGGCCCATCTTTGCTGCTGGATAAAATCCTCTGTTCATCTGCCCAGTGTCCCTCATCGACAGAGTCCTTAAGGGCTTTTGTTGGTGGTTGTATTTTGAAAAATTTGAAGCCTACAGAAAAGTTAAAAGAGTAGTATGGTTAGTGTCTGTAAGCCCTTCAGCTGGATTTACCCCTCGCTAGCACTGTCCACACTTTCTTCAGCCTCTGGAGAAAATTATTTGTGTGCGTGTGTACCTTTTTATTTGCCAAGCCATTTGAAGGATGGTTGAAGACATGATGACACTTTAGCCGTAAGTCCTCCTCCAACGTGACTGTCATTCTATGTCACACCATTCCAGGAAATTTAATACTGATGCAATAATACTATCTCAATGTACAGTCTGTTCTGATTTTCCAGTTGCCCCCAGGATGTCCCTGTGTAGTTGTTTGTGTAGTTTTGTGTTTCATCTTGAATCCACTCCGGGATCGAACCTGGCTGAGTCCACGTGACCCTGTAACCTCAGCCTGCCTCCTTGGGGAGGAAGCGCTTTCATGACGGTGGTGTTTTCCAGGTGCTGTAAAATTTGAACACTCCTAATTGTTGCCTCCTGGTGACAGTCAGGTTAGATGCTTTGGCAAGAATACGGCCTAGGCAGTGAGCTGTCCTCAGCATCATGTCAGGAAGCTTACGGTGTCACTTTGTGGTCATGTTAAGTCCGGTCACTCTGTTAGGAAGTTTGTCAGCGTTTCCTCCTCTAAAGTTGCCTTGTCCACTTGACTGGAATCCAGACATTTCTTATATCTACAGTTACTATGGCTGCCGTTGTCAGTTTGTCCAAACTCCATTGTAGACTCAGAGTCAGTGCTGTGGTGTTTCATGCAGACCAGGCGCTCCGCACAGGACTTGTATCAGAGACTGGAGGGTGTGAGAGTCTCTGTGCTTAAGGCTGGCTGGGGAGAGCGGGGTTCAAATCCTGAAAGAGGATAGCTCTTGAATAGAATCAGGAGTGAGAATTTTTTAAGGAAGTGTATTTAAAAGTACCATTTTTATTCTGGTAAAAAAACACATAAAACTTACCATCTTAACTATTTTTGTTTTTTTGTTTTTTTTTTTAAAGATTTTATTTATTTATTTGAGAGAGAGAATGAGAGACAGAGAGCATGAGAGGGAGGAGGGTCAGAGGGAGAAGCAGACTCCCTGCTGAGCAGGGAGCCTGATGTGGGACTCGATCCTGGGACTCCAGGATCATGACCTGAGCCGAAGGCAGTTGCTTAACCAACTGAGCCACCCAGGCGCCCTACCATCTTAACTATTTTTAAGAGCACGGTTTAGTAATATTAACTTTATTCACTTTGCAGCAAATTTCTAGAATTTGTCATGTTGCACTTTCATCTTGCAAAATTAACATTCAGTATCTATTACATACCCATTATACCTCCTAAGAAAGAGTATTTCCTTTTTTCCTAAGATTTTATCATTATTATTTAAAGATTTATCTATTTATCTATCTATTTATTTATTTATCGGAGAGAGAGAGAGAGCCCACGACCCTGAGATCATGACCCGAGCTGAAATCAAGTCAGACTCTCACCTGACTGACCACCCAGGCATTCCTAAGATTTTATGAAATTTTTTTAGATTTTATTTATTTATTTGACAGACACACAGCGAGAGAGGGAACACAAGCAGGGGGAGTGGGAGAGGGAGAAGCAGGCTTCCCGCTGAGCAGGGAGCCCAATGCGGGGCTTGATCCCAGGACCCTGGGACCACGACCCGAGCCGAAAGCAGACGCTTAACGACTGAGCCACCCAGGCGCCCCAAGATTTTATGATTTTTAAGCAATCTCTACACCCATCGTGGGACTCGAACTCACAACCCTGAGATCAAGAGTCACATGCTCCACTGACTTAGCTAGCCAGGTGCCCCAAAAGAGTATTTCTGATTGAGTCTTTGACAAAGGCAGAATGCAGTTTTCTTATTTTTATACTTGGGTCTAGTTCTGAGTGCAAAAGCAAGATAGTTATATTATCGTATGCAGGTACTAATTTGTTAAATTCTAAGATGGGGATAACATATAAATAGAATTGAGGTATGTCAGTGTTTGTATCTGTAGTTCTTAGAAGGTTATTCATTAATTGAGGAAATATTTAAGCACCTTTTGTGTACTAAGGAGGGAGGCAGAGTGGCTGGCATTTCAGTCACTAGTGTAAATGATTAGGAGAACAGTGAGTATAAAAAGGAAAAAACAAGGTCTGAGGGAGGATGTATCAGGCAAAGCATACCTGGTCTGGGGGTTTTTAAAGGCTTCTCCGAGGAAACTGAGACTTTAAGAATAATAGCAATGAGCAGATTACATGATGATGAGAGTATTCCAGGTAGGACTAGCATGTGCAAAGGCCCTGGGGTGACTGAGCTCGGTGAGTGCAGGGACCTGGAGAAGAACACTGTGGCTATAGAAGAGATAGGGTGTAGAAAGGCTGGCAGGGAAAGCAGAAGGCACTAGAAGGCACTTCACATACCCTTGGTAAGGATCTTGGACTTCTCTGTGAGTGGTGGAAGAGAATGAAAGCAGTTAAATTAAGTAGGACAGTGATGGAAACAGGTTTTTTATTTTGAAAAGATCACTATAGGGCGCCTGGGTGGCTCAGTTGGTAAGCGACTGCCTTCGGCTCAGGTCATGATCCTGGAGTCCCTGGATCGAGTCCCGCATCAGGCTCCCTGCTCGGCAGGGAGCCTGCTTCTCCCTCTGACCCTCCCCCCTCTCATGTGCTGTCTCTCTCATTCTCTCTGTCTCAAATAAATAAATAAAATCTTTAAAAAAAAAAAGAAAAGATCACTATAGCTACAGTGTGAAGAATGAATGAAAAGACCAAGAATGGGTTCTGGTGGCCCAGGGAGGGGCCTGTTGTAATATCCAGATGAGGTGGTGCTGGGCTTCAGGAGGTGGGAGTATAGGTGGAGATAACTGGAGCGTGGATAGGGCATAGCTGGGGGGTGCCTGGTGGAGGGAGCATGGATAGGGCACAGTTTGGGGGGTGCCTGGTGGGGGGAGCATTGATAGGGCACAGTTTGGGGGGTGTCTGGTGGCGGGAGGCGTGGAGAGGGCACAGCTGGGAGGGGTGCCTGGTGGGGGAGGCATGGAGACGGCACAGCTGAGGGGGTGTCTGGTGGGGGAGCGTGGAGAGGGAACAGCTGGGAGGGGTTCCCCGTGGGGAGACCGTGGAGAACACAGCTGGGGGGGTGCTCGGTGGGGAGGGAGCGTGGGGGGAGTACAGCTGGGGGGGTGCCTGGTGGGGGAGGCGTGGAGAGGGCACAGCTGGGGGGGTGCCTGGTGGGGGGAGCATGGATAGGGCACAGCTGGGGGGGTGCCCAATGCGGGGAGCATGGAGAGAGCACAGCTGGAGTAATCAGACATTTATCAAGTAGAGCCAGTCAGGTGCATTTCTTGGCAGAAGGAATGAGTGAAGGTGGGGGCTGTGATTAAACAGGAGGGAATATTCCTAGGTTTCTGATTTAAGCATCTGTGCTCCTGGTTTTCTCTGAGGGAATAGGAAATCCTGGAGATAAGCCAGTGTTAGAAGAGGATTTAGGGAGGATGAAGCAGATCGGGGCAGTTGAGCTAGACGTGCCTACAGGCTGTCCAAGTAGAGATGTCACCTTGGCAATTGGATGAGTCTGGAGCTCTGAGGAAGTAAAAATTGGAGAATCATCAGCATATTGAAGGCAGCTGAAGTTCTGAGATTTGAGCTGATTGGCCGGAGCACGAGGAGCAGAGGTCAGAGGTCCGAGGTCCTGGGGCAGGCTGAGGGGACAGAGGGAGCCGGAGTGCTGGGGAAAGGAGAATGTTTGTAATGGGAGCGAGGGAAGCAAGCGCTCCCTGCAGGAGGGCAGGGCCCGAGCACCTTTGCTTGAATCGGAGCACCTTGCGGTCCCAGTGACCTGAGCCGAAAG